TCTGCTCAACATCCACAATACCAACAAGTGAAGAGACAGTTTTCAGGCTGGGTGTGATAAATAGCACCGCATGCTCCCTTCCTCCCATAACATTACCAAAAATAATCTGGCAAAGCCAATGAAATTGAAACAAACTTCCACCTTACAGAGTCATATTCCCACCCCGGACACCAGAAAGGGCCAGCTGTAAAGGAGGGTCGGAGCCAGGGGGAGCTGGGGCAGTGCTCCCACTGCCTCGCGGCGGGGAGCCAACTCTCTCTCCCTGGGCTCCCTCTGCAGCGTGGGATCGTCAGGCTCCTCCAAAGCATCTAAATTAGGTTTCTGCCCATATTTTACCCCCTGGGGGAACATGATTCCAATTATGAGCCAAGAAAGTACCAAGTCATTTATCAGGTTAAATGAAATGCCAAATGCTAGGTTGTAGAAAAGTATTACATACATTCTCCCTAATAATAAAGAGGATTTTTCTGGGGTCATGACACCCATTGAAAAGCCAACAAAAATGTAGCCGGAGCAGATGCTAATTGAAAGTGTACATCCCAAGGCAGGAACTGGAGCAGCAGAACAAATCCCTGGTACTGCAAACGCACGGTTTGCAATATCCAGATCCCATGGCTCCAAAGCACAGGTGAAGCCACGTGCCAACGTGTACTAGCAAAATGGATAGTCAATAAATGCAAGTGAGACCATGGAGAGAACTTGCAGATGAATTTCCAAATCTAATCAAATCTGAGATCTCTACCAAGGGCTTTTGTCATATTCATAGCAGGCATGCTTTGGTTTTCCATTACATATTCATATGCTTCCATTCAGAACAACCTTGTTTCATTACAACGGATTCAGCTGTGCTTTGCAGTCCTGCTCCATTTCTTCCAAGGCAAATTCTTCAGGAGATTAACCTGACACATTTACTCCCTCGATAATATATCCTGTCTTTTCTGATATCATTACCAGTTTCAAGCACATAGCAATAAATAGGCTTAAAACTTTTAAAAAGTAGTGACTTGAAAGCTTTCTTGTTCCCACATTTTCTTGGTACAACACATTTCACTTCTCAAGTAATGTTGTGAGATTCAGCTCAAGCAAATATAAAATAAATTATTAAGCCTCTAACCAAAAGCTTCCAGACCTAAAAACCCTCTTCATTGGACTTAAAGAGTTCCAGTGCATGGCAGAGCTCTAACTGGAGTTCAGGTTTTAAGCAGATTGAAGTGGCAATTGTTCTTTTCTAGGAGTTCAACATATTATTCTTACGTTTCATATGCACAGAAGACATTAGTGAAGATAAACTGTGCAACTGGTAATTGAAATTAAAGTTGCAACATCTATTATGATAACATCCACCGTGTCCCATCTCAAACACACAGAGAATGAAATGGCTTTTGCGTATGAAGCACCAATCGTGATACTCACTGGAACAAAAATGCATTAAGAAATGTAATGAAACACATTTACACAACATAAGATTTCCTAAAATTACTTACATTGTCATTACTAGTCTTCTACCATCTTGACAGATACAATAAGTAAAACCCCAGTACAATTCTGGGAGATGTGTCTGAGAAAAGCATGTCTTTTTCTAAAACTCAAAAAGTTGCACGGTATTCATGGTAAAGAAACCTGTTCAAAAATCCAGTTTGCTTCTGAAAATATTGATGTATATAACACCTACTCATCTAAAAAGGAGAAATCTGCATGACCTTTGGAAGAATTCCTCGAAAGTACCTTCCTAACAAAATTTCAGGAAACACCAAACATTCCTGATATTTCAAAATCAGGATTTTTTATGAAATAATATGTAGATAAACTATATTGTCTTTGGAATCCAAGTAACCATTAAGTGATTATAGCAGCAACAAAGCTGTATTAAAAGGGCCACCAACTGAAAGAATATCCAGTTTAAGCATGCTCCTGGGACCATGCTCAGCATTCCAGCTTTTTATAAATTTCTTGCAAATCAACAACCTTTTACAAGACTGTAAAATTTGCTTATCATTATCACATCAGTAAACAAAAGCTTTTCCAATATTTTAACTGATTAACACTGTAACTGCTAGTTTATGTCATATTAAAAAAAGAAAAACCACCCACAGATTGTACCATATCTGGCTAGGTTAACCATTTTTTAGAGATAACCTAAAGTCTTCTACAGGGAAATGACAGTGCAGAGTATTTTATAGCCAGGGGCAATTAGAAAGATGGAGATGAAGATCAACTTCCTATTTCTAGGGTGCTACATACTGTATATGAAGATGATTTCTAAGACACATGACAAACTTGGCTGCGTCATCTGTCCAAAACTGGTGAGGTATGTAAAATCTTGGCTTACAGAAGGAAAGCAATAAAGATATTTATTAAAAAAAAAATAAAATAAATCTACTTTCCACATGTTATACCTTTAAAGGAGTGCTGTTTTAATTACCAAGAAGGAGTATTCCTTTCCTAGCCCATAAAGCTCCCTGTAACTTGGTACTGTTACCTTCTAATTGGGATCAGGACTAAATCAGTAGCTCTTTAACGTCTGATTATAACTCAGAGGAACTAAAGGACTGGATCAAAGTATGGTTATGCAAGGTGTTACTACAGTCAGATGCAGCTTACTAAATATTTAAGACATATAAAGATAAACATGTGGGACTGTAAATCACTACAAACCCAAACGGTTAGCAAGATCTCTGCAAGCGCCTCCTGGATAAAGATATATGATGTACTTCATTCATTTTCTAATGAGCAATATTCAGGGTTTTTATTATTATTAATTGCATATAAATTACCATGATTCTTGTATCACTGGGAAAGTATTTAGCCATTCACCTCTCAGAGGAACAATGCTCAACAAAGAAAATGAATGCATGGCATATAAGAACAATGCAGAACACAGAAATTTATGCATGCCATTTAAAAGGCATGGCATTTAGACTACTAGCAAAAAAATCAAAAGTATGTCATAAATCTTTAATTGTAAAAAAAGAAGGAGTCCCACTAATGGTTTGCCAAGTCCTTGATATTATTTAAGCAAGAACACTGCCTGCTTCTGCAGTGCAAAATCTCCTTAACTCACGTTATCTGCGTGTATCCCCAACCTCCTCTGAAGTGTTCTGCTGTAAAATTCATTGTATCCGAGATCTGCTAATCATCATCAGCAAACTCTGTTATGCATCTTAAGGACGTACTTTAGGCTCTCAAGAGGAAAAATAAACATGTTTTATTAGCTGCTTTTGCAAAATACTGATTTGTATTTATTTAGAAACCTTTTCAAGTTGCACCACTGTTAAATTAAATATTTATGGCATGATTTTCCAAAGAGTTTAACACCTGTTAAGAGTTTAACATGCTGACTTCAACAGGAGCTCTGAGTGCCCAACATTTCTGTGAACCTCAGAAGTGACAAGGTTCAGATACGGCAAAGCAGCTCGAGCGTGGATGTTACTGCTGAGCTCTGAAATGCAACCAGGGTGCCTACCTGCCCCTACTTCCCATCACAGCATTTCATTTCAGACAACTGAATCAGCTGTATTTTACTAGAAATACCAGAAATATGACTCATTAATACCTGTTAAATCCAAATAAAGCACAGGATAAATGCTATTAGCTAATCCTCAATGCACCTTCACTTTCCTTCACTAGTGGAAAACTTACGTGCTTGGGTCATTAGATATCACCTCAAGTAGCAACTTACAGAGGAGACTAAAATCCACAGTGAGTCAAGAACTGGAAAGCAAAGTTGTTGATATTAAGGGTGAGAAGTTGAATGAGGATAAAGCTATCTTGGTAAAATACAGAATAAAGAAGGTACAGCAGAAAAAGAAAAGATGTTTGGTACATTGCAAAACCCTGTACCCCAGTGACAGTGGAGCCAGCAGTGCAGTCTTCAATTCTGGCTAAGAGGGCAAATGCCAAAGCCAAAGCGTTCTCCAAAATCGAAGACCACGCTGCTGGCCTCTCTGTCAGATGAAGTCAAAAAAAGGGGGTGGGTTTAGTCATCCTTATTTTGCTTAGCTTCTGAGGGCTGTGCACTTACTATCCCTCTCAGCTTCACGTTTTCAGGTATCCTGCATCTCCTGTTCTTGCACGAATAGACGATTTCTTGTACCTTGTGGCTGGCTGCCCTCCTACCCTCCTTCATCCCTTACTTGGTTGCAACACATGCCTAAATCCGCACTATGGTGCAAAGACATCATCTTACATTTCAGAATTAAATACCTAAATTTCCTTGTGGCGTTTGGCCTATACTGGAAGCAAAAAAAAAGTCTTTTAGGCAGTACATTAATAAATAAATAACATCAAAATAAGAAATTGCTATACATAGATATGATTGAAATGATCATCCGACATGATTTCATAAACTGAAGACAAATAAAATAGTTGAATATTGCAGACAGGACAAATCAATCTCCTTATACACTTTACAGTACACTACAAATCTGCCCAGCAAGTCAAATATTGTACTCATTAAAATAGTAGCTTTCATCACACTATAAAACATTTGCAAATGCAGACCAGAAAACCAACAAGCATATTTACTGTAAAGCTTTATATTTGTGTCATCAATTAACAACAAAAGTTTGGGATAAAACTAAATAAAAGCTAATCAAAATAGCTAGCTGTCAAAACAGATGGGAACTATTATTTTTCAAATCAAGCAAAAAGCCAAAACTTTCGAACATTTAGTGTTGTGTCAGCTGATACAGACAACTTAGAAAGGAAGGACAGCAAATGTCAGGATTATATGTAGAAAAGGTGTCCCCGGCTGAAAGATTCACGCTTATGAATTTCCATTGATTTTTTTTGGCTTCAGGATGATTAACTTGCACCAAAGCAGACCTCTGATATGTGAACTATAAATAAGGTGCCACTGCAACACTGCAGGCAAAATAAATAAAAAGAGAGCCCCGACATTATTTCAGCCTCAAACAAATGTTTCAGTCCCTACATTGTCTGGCTCATAAAGATACATAGACAGTCTCACAGACAGAGATATAAATGAACAATTGCAGTACCTTTTTCCCACACTGTTTACAGGGTTGGCTATATTCCTACTGGCAATAGATTTTCTTCTTGACAGCTTCTTGGTGTTGGTGCTGTCATCAGTGCTGTCATCCTCTTTCTTTGGTGTGTTACTTCCTTTGCTGTTCAGGTCCCTTAGCACATTATAATTAATTTTACTTGAAATTTTCTTCTGTTCTAACATCTTTTCAATTGCCTCTCCTGCTGTGCTGGCTTGAATTGGCTCCCGCTTCTTTGCAGATTTCTTTGGCTTAATTAAAATATAAAATTAGTGATGTAGATACAAACAAAGTTTCTGTGAAGCAGAAGGGCGAGCTGCAGTTCAGCAGTCCTGGCTCAGGTGCTGCTGATGCGGGGATGCAGGTGATGCAGCCGGGCTAAGCCAGCGCTCCCTCTCCTGCCACTCAAGGGGACCGAGAGGTCTCTTTTCTCCGAGAAGTAAGTGTTTGCTTTTTGCCAAATGCCCACACAGTTTATTACAAATTCTTTACTTAGTATTTGTAATGCTGCCAGAGAAGAAACATGGGCCATTTCTCACACACACACAAAAAAAAAAGGAATGAACTCCTGTTACAGGAATAGGGACCCTGATAGCATTACCCAGCATGGAAACAAAGAAATTCCCCTGCTAAAATTGCCTTTGAAGTTCAAGTCAAGCTGGGTCACGACTCCCCTAAGCACTGACAACACCGTATCGAAACTGCAACGGTATTTTACATCAAGTCCGAATGCGGCGTGGGAGAGCATCCACCCAACTCCTCCTCCACACTGAGAAAGGCGAAGAATAGCAGCAACAGCTTTCCAAGCATGGAGCGGCATTAACGCCGATGGATAGGAAGCAGGAGGCTGCAGACACACAGGTGCAGTGGCAATGTCACCTGCAACTGCCCTTCCCAGGCAAACGCTGCCAGCCCAAGCCCAGCATTGCGCCGCAGAGGTTGATGCTGTGCAGAGCCAGACAAAGAGAAATGACACCGGGGAACATTTCTAGCCATGTCCCATGCCTGGGTAGGTACAAAAAAAAAAAAAGAACTTCTGTTTCTCATTTGGCATTTTCCTTTTCAAAGGAAGGTTTTAACACCAAGCTCTGCAGGAGATTTATTTTTTAATGGATAATAGCCCCTCTGTTTACCTACATGGGTCAAGTGCCACCTTGAAATTGGAAAGCACTATATTAATCAAGTTCTACTCAAGCTGTCAGAAACAATACAGAGTTAGAGAAAAACTCCTGTGTTGTCCGGACAAAAAAGTGGGTGTTTGGGCTACTTGGCGGTGCCAACAAGTTATACAATTTTGAAAATTGCTGGTAGACTGCCATGTCTGCGTGAGTGCAAGATGAATGAGAAACTCTGAAGCATAAAACAGTGTTTCATTGTCTGGTTTTGCTTTTATTGTTGAAATACCTAGGGGAAGTAGGAAACTCTGTCTTTTGCATTAGTCGGAAAAAAAGATAGAGGATATATGCACTAAAAACTAACACAGATTTTAGTTGCATGTGGAAGATTTGACTTGTCACTTGCTCAATTACACAAAATACTACTGCCGTAAATCGTGAATATACAATTAGGTTGCTTTAAACTGCTAAACGTGGAGACAGGACATGCCATTTGTTAACGTAACTGTTGCATTCTTTATGAAAGGTAGAACAAAATATTCCTTCAAGTGACTCTAACAAGGATCTGTTCAGTTCTTCATAAAGAAATCATTATTGTAAGAGCAAAGAAAGCTACTGAAGTTATGGCAAGTACAAACTAATTCCCCATGCACACATAAAAAAAAAAAAAGTCAGGCATGTCTTAGGACCTGTATTTAAAAAAGCAAGCAATTAGGGCAGCAATCATAAATGCAAAGATATATCTCAGACTTTGCCATGCACAGAATTTTCTCATAACAGTAATTTAAAATAAAAGTTTGGGCAAGAAAGTGTTTTACTCACCACTCGAAAAATTATAGCCTTGTAATTCGATAACAGGTAGGGATACAATAGCTTTTGCTCATTTAGTGGTGACCTGAATCATTATGCCCACTCCTACATGGAGTTAATCAGCAAATGTAACTAATTTCTAGGACATTTTCAAACAGACACAATTAGCACATAGTTTAATACCTTGTGTTCCTTATAAATCCCAAGTTCTTTCTCTTTTGCTATTCTTGCTTCCTTTTCTGAAAGATGACAAAAGGGTAACCAGTATGAAGATTACACAAACCACATATTTCAGCAACACTGGCGAAAAGGAGAATTTCAGTCCTATATACTTACCTTTTTGTTCCTTCAAATAATCTGCATTTTCTTTCATCCACAGCTCTGCTTTTATCTGAGCTTCTGTTTCGTTAAGTATATACTAAAAGACAAAACAAGTTTATCTACTTGCAGAAATCAACTTGAAAACCATAGAGCAAAACTGAATTGAAAAACCACTGGCAAGGTCAATTCACATTCTGTTTTTAAAAATACATTAATAAAAGAAAACATGACTGTGATGTGACAATCAGAGAGCATTTCTAGTAACTTCTAAAGCTGGCAAAAAATGACGACATGTTTTCAAAACAGTCCTTGGTTTCCAAACTATGATGGGGTGACCAAAAACCATCCAGGACTCATTGTACGTGGTCTGTAATTAACCTAAAATGATCCTGGGTTTATGATTTTTTTCAGATGATATGAGAGGGTATCATGACAACATGGTCATCTGCAAGTAATTCTGTGTGTTGATGGTGGTCTGTAATTCAAAACAGTATGGGAACCATTGCCCTGTGCTACCAAAACAGAAACATGTGTCTTCTGGGTAGCTTTCTGCAAAGGTTTAGGCACAGTCACTGAGATTATTAGTTCACTGGCCACATCTGTGTGAATGCAACCAACTGAAATTGCTGGAGTTCTCGTCCTCTAGATTTTAGAGAGCTGGGTTCAGTAACCACATCTAGGTTTTTTTCAGTTAACTCCACTTAGTCTCAGTAACATCATTAGTAGGTGTGGAGCTGTAAAACACATCTAGAACTATTCAGATGAATTACAGAAATGAATAAACCCATAGGTAGCAGGCAGGCTGGTAGACGGATCTCCTCTTCAATTACTTAAATGTAAAAATAAACCCAGTATTTAGCACAACTGTCTGTGAAACGAAGTTCTCTACAGCCAATGCTGTTTGGGAGTGAAGAACTTCTGCAGAACGAAGACAAATTGGGTCATCCTTCATGAACAAGACACTTTATTTTTAAGCAGTGGATCCAAGACTTGTAAAACGATGTTTAAGCGCAAGAAAAACAATTTGAGATTTCTCCATCTTACAGATTTGAGCATTTGAGATTTTCTCTGAAGTAAAACGTACATATAGGATTTTATGAGAAAAATAACTCCAGCCAAATGAAACCAATGCAGGGAGGAGTCCTTCCTCTGAGGGCAAATGAGGCAAGCAAACAGCTGTGCAAGTCCTGGTTTATCAGACCAATATTTTCACTCTTTCATCTGCTTCTATTAAAAGTGGGCTATAACAGTAAAACTCGCTTGCTCCTACCTCAGTTATTCATCCTTCTTACACTTTTAGAGAGTTCATAATCTTGAGCTTACAATATTACAGTCTATTGCGATGGAAATGAACATGAGGTCATAAAAGCAGAGTTATGACCTCATCACAAAGCCTAGGAGGAGGAGAAAATGTGCTTGTTCTTCCCCTGTGATTGTTTAAATTATGAACTGGCTATATTGCAAGCCTTCAGCCTTCCCTCTCCCTCCATACCACATTCGCTCAATTCACAAGACCCTTCCTAACGCCCAGCCAAGCAAAACCCACTTCACGGCTGAAGTCAAGCTGAGCATTTTCCTGCTCCTTCATCAATTGCCAACAACGTTCTGCAGATCAGTAACCCCTATGCAACCTCATCGCTCTCAATGACTCTGTACCCCAAAAGCAGGTTTTATCATTGGCATTATCTGTTCAATTTACACTTCAAACCAGTGTGGTGGCTGGAGAGGGCACCAGGCTCAGAGTCAGAAGAGCTGGACTCTGTTGCGTGATCAAGCCTTGACCTGCTCTGAGGCCTTCAACAAGCCATCTTCCACAGATGTCTTTCTGTCGTATTCAGCCTATATGGTAAAGAGTATCTTTTGCTGTCACACAAATAATAATAAATCCAGAAAATGTTACATAAATCTTTGAAAGAACACAGAAGCTGTACATGCTGGTTTCCATGGCAGCCTCCTATGTTGAATATATCTTAACTAAATAACGAATTTAGAGCTCCACCAAACTTTTAAAAGTCCTTCTTCAGAATAAAAGACATTCTAAAACATAATTATTCCAGCACGGTAAGAGCAAGCAGGAGCTTCATATATATATACATATATATAAAAATTGGGCAAGGAATACCAAAGTCACAGGCTTGCATGAATATTAGTTTTGATCTCAGATCACTGAAATCACTCGAACCTCTCTATAGATCAGAGTGAAGAGGCAGTGAGGGGAAAGGATAAACCAGATAAGAACCATTTTGTCTTTCTTGGATATCCAAATGCAGAGACACCCGGGATAAGAAGGCACCTTACCCGATCTATTTCACTGTCGTCGATCCCACTCAGATCTAATTCACCATCTCCTGTGCTCTCACCTACAGACAAGAACACATTTTAATCAGGCAGATGTTTGTTCAAAATCTATCACAATTCAAGTTCTACTGTAAAGTAACACTTAACGACCGTCCTTCACAGACTTGTATCCTTCCGTGTTCATCCAGGAGGTTTAACGTGTTGCTGAGTATTTTCAATATGGGGATGCACACATGCACAAATTCACCACACTGAATTAATTTAAAATTCAGGAATCAGCACAGTCTTCTTCAGTACTAAAAATCTGTCAGACACTTCCAGTTGCCTTTTTTCCCCCCATTTTAATTTACAGTCACAAATGTTCATTAGGAAGCTGGGGAAACCATTTTAAAAAGATGACCATTTTTCTTTCATCGTAACATCAATTTCTGTGTCAAAACCCACAGGTCAATGATTTATCCATAAATTATGACCTAGAAAATATTTTCTGTTTTCAGGGAAGCAATATGGAACAGTGAACAATACCTCACGTCAAGAGTCATACCATAGCTTTCTTCTTGATTCTGATCTATCATCATTTGAACCACTTACTTCATACCAGTTCTGTACAAAGATGTGTATTTGTTTTTCTACCAGTAAAATGGAAATTATTAAAACATTTCCAAATTTTAAAATAACTTTTAAAAGCTATGGAAGGGTCTGGATAAATGTTAAACAATAATGACTTTCTGTAATTACAATTTCACTGTCATTTTTCTAGTTTTGTATTTATTAAGACTTCTTCTGAAAACAAATGTTTTAATATTCTCTCCATTAAAAAGTGTAACACCACAGAACAGAGGTCTAATTTGGGACTGGCACAGCATACAGCAGCAAAACCTGATCTTCCACATCACATTAATGTGCAGTTGTAATACACTATTAATGTAGGTCAGCTAGAGAAAAACCCAAATGATTCAACAAAGACTTATGCTGGAGAATGAAGCAATCTTCTTGGTCATCTCCATTACATCTCATGAAAACTAGACAAGAGATGACCTAACCAGTTTACTTGCAGAAAAAATAAACAAATTAAGTTTCAACAATCTGCAATAACCAATTAAACCCGAAATGGTGCAGAACAGCTTGGCACCTTCACGGTTCCTGCTCCCCGGTCCTGGGGATGTGCCTCCCCACAAACCAAGACCTTTGAATGGTTTGATTCCCCGGTCCGGTGCTTTCTCATAAAGCAGTGCTCCTGAGCCGTGCGGCGCTGGACTGGCGGAAGGGAAGGCAGCTGCAGCTCTTTGATCCAACGGCAGGTTATGGCAGCCAAATGGTGAAGACAAGCTAAGGTAGGAATTATGCGCATTCCCAGACGGTACAAACAATGCTCTGCTTGGCAAAACTCGGGCGTTTAAACCAGTTGCCTGAAGGACGTGAAATCACAGGCTCAGGAATCCAACCAAAACACCTGGTTAGGAATAAAGGCTGCACTTCTTGAGATAGTCCAAAGGGTCTGGCTGCTCAACTCAACAGACATTTACCAGTATCAGACACTGAGCGCTTACAAATCTCTTTTCAAAATCCACCTTGAACAACCAACAGAAAGTTTTAAACTTTCCAAACCAAGTCATAAGCGAAATGAGTTTCACCCCAAAGAAAACGTCCTGTCACAAGGAACAGCATAACACTGTGCTTTGATTTTTTTCTGAGACTATCTCATAAAAACTTTACCAATTCAGATAATCTGATGCTAAAGGCCTTAAGCAACATTTCTCACTGCTGTTACATTTAGAGATTAACGGTACTTTAGTCCCAGGCACCAGATTTACTTTATAACCTTTTTCCCTCAAAAAACTTCAAAAGTGTAAAGGATTTTATAGTAACTATATAATTGTTCAGTACATATGCTTTTCTTCCGGTCTGATCTCTATATAGTGCAGTAAGAGCCGAACTTTCTGCACCGGCACCACCAGCTCCTCGCGCAGGCACGCCGCTACCAGGCAGGCAGGGATGCGACCCAAGGACATGGCAAAGGAAGCCCTGGCTCAAGGCTGGAGAGGAAAAGCAAGGTGACAAAATACACCCCTGTGATTTACTGCCTCTTTAATACAACCCACTGGAATTTTTTTTAGCAAATCGTAATCATGCGAAGCACAGAGAGTAATCTTTGTATGCTGCATCACCCACAGTTGTCCAGACTATACTGCAAAATAGCACTCCATGTCTCTCCTGCTGGAACTGATATATAAATTTCCAGTGAGGAAAATGCTTAAATATTCACCAAGGAAAGCAGTAAATACTGTAGTCTTGTGTCCAGGACACCTTCCCAGGAGATTGTCCATCTGGGTCCAAGAAATGTTTCATTACACAAAATAAAATAGCTCGACAGCAGAGTGCAAGAGTGTACCCAGGCCAGAATAACCTGTCTCCTAGGTTGGAAGGAGTTTGTGCAGAAATGGGACTCGAATTTGGTCTCCCATATTCTGGGTGAGTGCTTTAACCACCCAGTTGTAGGACAGAGGGGGGTGTGGCCTCCCACTTTCCTGTGTTATCTACCTTTTGTTTCCTCAAGGTTTTGGAGGAAAAAACCACAAGTTCAATTTGGTTTACCTGAGCAAATAAAGACTTTTTTTTTCCACATTCATTGCACCAGATAAACTAAAATGTCAACTATCTACACAGGCTTGGAATTAGGGGCAAAGAAAAAGGGAGCCAACCTCAAAAATTGCTAGTAAGTTCTGAAAATCACAGGCTAGAAAATCAAAATTTGGAAGTGGTGACACAACTGCTCAAGTCAGTGCTCAACTTTACACAAAATCGTATCCCAAAATTACTTGTTGTAAAAACTGCCACAGCATCTTAAGAACAATAGACGTATCCCACTGAAACCAGGCTGCCACTGCTTTTATTCATCGTTAAACACCTTGCTCCTCCTATACTGTTATATTTTTGGATCAGAGGTTTAAAATTTAATATGTCACAGTACAGTAGGTGTCTGTTCCCTTATACAGCCCTAATATGCCAGACTGAAAATGATGTAATTTCAGGCACCATGAACAATTTCACATGTCATTTTAAATATAACTTGTTACTGAATTTGGTGCCAGTTTTTCTCATTGGATCAATTAGCAACAGGGATGGAAAACTCATTCTCCAACTGGTAAATTGCAGAGAAGAATCCAGAAGCAAGTTATACGTAATAAGCATTTCTTAGACCCCATAACGGCAGTAGAGGGAGTAATTGCAGGATATCCCTCTGCCTGCAAGTCGTCCTTTTTCCTGCCAAGACGATAGGCATTCATTAAATGCAAGGGGTTTCTCGGAAGAGAAGGTGCCTTCAAATCCCTAGTTTAATGCTTTCACAGAGAAAAAAAAATATGTGTTTTGTTACAGAATGCCAATTCAAAACAGAATACATCCATTTTCATCTGAAAATTTCCACAGCAATCGTTTCCAACATGAGTAGACCCTACCAGCCATAAATATCCGTCTGTTCGATGTTATACGGCTCACTTCAGGGCACGGAAAGTAAACCCCTTGCTTTTTTATATACCAGAAAGATCTTCCCAGCTGCTAAACTTTTCAAAACAATGATCATTTTCCCTTTTAATAAAAGGGTCGAAATGAAATGTACGATGAAATAAAAACACAGATGTGGCCAACATCTGGTCCAACCTCTTAAAAGCTTATTTAAAAGCAGTAGCGTCACGTGGCACGGCTCTTAGACAGCACGGATTTCTTCTGTTAAGAAAAACAACCACTTTACTGCAGGGCACAGGCAAAAAATAAGTTGGGCATTAAAAACACCACTACCACCCCAAATCCACTTCTTAAACGAAAGTACCATCGGGAAGAGCACAGCGTGAGGCAGCGAGGAGCAGTCAACTCCATCCTCACCTAAGGTCTCTGTGGCAAGCAGAGGAGGACGGGCACTTCCAGAGCTTTCCATCAAGGTCCCCAATCAGCTACATTCATGTCACTTAAAACCATCAGTCACCTAGCCAGCTTCCCCAATATTTAAAAATAAAACCCCCCAAAAGCCCTTTCTTTACAGCCTTTTAACGTCTTTCCAACCGTTTCTAATAGATGCGAGGGCTACAATCAGACACTGGGGATTAGGTTTGTAAACCTGTAGGATTATTTACTGTTCTTGTCATTACTAAATGCACACTAAACCCTCTTTTAACACACTGTCTCCCTCCCCTCCCTACCTCCGTGCAGCTAGTTAAATGTATATATAGCACGCTCTTATGGGGATTTATTACAGAAGAATCATTCGAGCTGGTATATTTTAAACCCTACATTTTTAAAAACAGCCATGTGAAGAATGTGTTTTTCTGTTTCTATTACAGGAGGCAGCACTATTTATTGCTCTGCCCAGATAAGAGGATTTCCTTACAGACAGAAATGGAGGCTGAACACTTCCCAGGAAATCCTCCGGAGCAGATATAATAGAAGGCACTTGGTGCTCTGGTCCCATGTAGCAAACACACCCTCCGTCGCACCATTTCATAGCAGTCAAAGAGCCAAAAGAGTTTAAACAAAGAACCCTTCCACCTATTCAGCACAAAACCAGATGCTAAGCACCCCCAGCATTTAAGAAATACTTTGGGGCTAGAGCATGACAAAATCTGAAAATAGTTGGGAGAGGCTTTTTCACTAACAGAAATCCTTAAGCAACAAACCAAATGACATGAGCCCAGGGCATCAGAAATAGTGGGACTGATTGTTGTTCTCCAGGGAGGGATTAAAACCAACGGGAGTCACAGAAAGCTCCCGCAGATCATCGGAGGAACCCGACAGGGCAGAAACGCTTTGGCAGCTAAATCAGATGAGCAGTGCCAGTGCCACTTTGGGAGCTGCAAGGAGCACGAAGGGAAGGCAGTAGCTTCACGTCAAAAAAAGACACTGCACAACCGCACGAGAATATAATTGATTAGCTGATCAGAGGGGACAAGAACCCATCTGGAGGGGAAGATAACTGATTTACTGAGGGGCGTGAAGAGAACAGTCATTAAGCGTGGGTAACCGGGAGGGGAGCAGCAGCGGCGCAGGGCAGACAAAGTGCTGTAGTGAT